CCATTACACAGATAAATGACTGCATGTCCAAAGTAATTGAGATAATGTCTATCTGCTACCCTGACTGTAACATAAAAGTTCCTTAATTGTTGTGGGCACATGAAAATACAAGAATTATGAAAGAAAATTTAGCTGTGATTGATTTCCTTCACCTCAAATCGCTAGTGGTGTTGACTCTTGACACATGTAGGTATTTATTTGCCTCCCTTTATTCTGGTAAGGGCATATATCTCATACACCTATAACATCATATGGAACAAATGGGAGCAGCAATAATATTTTTAAAAACCCTCTCACTTCCTGCCCACAAGCTACAACAGATACAAATCCATCCCCAGGGTGTCTAATTTGAGATTAGAAAAAGCATGAATGAGTTTATGTTAATAAAACTGAGAAATTTTAGGCTCTTGAAATATAAGAGCGAATTTTCCCCATGTGGTCTGTAGTAAAGAAGAATGAAACCAGCCAATAGAAAAAAAGCAGAGAACAGATATGACAGAGAAACTGGTTTTTCAACTTCGTACTTTTTAATTGTTTTTAAGGCCTTACCCTTCAATCAGTTTGAATTTCCAAACTTATCTTACATTACATTATGTACCCTAATATTCTTCAATTAATTCTTGAATAGTTTGAATTGGGTTTCTGTTTGTTTTAACAAAGACAATTAGGATTAAAACCGAAGTATTAAGTTTGCAAGAGATCTTTCTGGTTACTACATTTTCTCTTATTATGAACTATGAATTTCTAAAATACCATGTTTAAAGCAGAATGTAAGAGATACGTGGAAGAGCATATGGTTTTTGGACATAATTCAGAATGTTGAAAGCAGTAGTGACAATATGGGAAGCAATATTTGGGGACAGGGTAGTTGAGAGAGATGAAGGTCCTTCTAGAAGCATGGTCAAGAATATCTTTAATCTCTACTTTTTGGGTCTGCCAAAATCAGGGATGTCTGACTTTTCTGGGATAGATCAGACATTTAACAATTGTCAGATAGAAATTTCAGAACAGAAAGAGACAGAAATTTGTCAAAGAGTTTCATATGTCTTTTTAGTTTATGTCAAATGTAATGTCCATACAATGTTTGGGGTATTCCCAGCACTTCTGATTTGGACATTTCCAATCATCTGAATAGCTCTGGTTCTAGACCTACTCACTCATTGTTGGGAGTATATGACAGAAGAGAGTATCCATAACCTGTGGTAAAATCTCTGTAGTAATTTTTAGACTACTGACCTAGCAAATGCATAGAATGTTCTGATTATTTTTTGCTACCTTTACCAGCATAAAGGCTGTGGTGTTTTGCCCACAGTCAACTTCTGTACGTTGAGTATTCCAACTAGGCCTCCATCCAAGTTAATATTCCATTAACCATCACAAAGGTGAACTCTTATTGAATTTTATTTTGCTTTATTTGGGGAATAAGACACAGTCTCATCCTAAATAAACTCAGAATATATACATATGAAAAGACATATATTAGTGTTTATATTCTGTTGGTTTTACAGGAAAGGATCAGAGAATAGGGCTTAATAGCATTATCTTTATGTCTCTTCTGTTCTTATGTGGATAAAATACATCATTACAGAATTCTGAACCATGATTTGTAAAACCTATTAGGGGATTATCCTCAGGATAACTCATAACACCCCATCATGACTTCATAACACGCAGCTAGATCCCTGATGGCATGCCAAATTTCCAACTATTTTAAGAAAACCTTTCCTCAAAATTCAGCCACCAGCCAAAGTGATATCATTTAAGTATTAGTATTATCAAGTATTAGTATTGGTGAAATTGTCTAGAATTATTTTCCATATTTATAGTAATAAGACTAGAATAGATGTACCATGATGATTTTTCAATGGTTGTTTGGAGGATAGTGAAGATGCTGTGGCTTATTCTCATTATACAAAATAATACAGTGAATGGAATTTTTGGAAAACTGTTTCCACCATTTAAATGTTTTTGTGGAAAGAATTCAAGCTCTCCTCTAATTCCCAATTATTGGAATAAGGTATCCCCCATGTGATTGCTGAAATATGACCATAAATATCGATCTACTCCAAACTCCATTTGGGAAGAAAATAAAAACAAAGAAGGAGATAATGCTAAAAGAGACAATGGCTTTAACTTAATATCATGAAAGTCAAGTTGGATCTCACAGAAATCTCAAAGGAAGGCAACAAAGTCTGGAAGAGAAAAAGGGAGGGGAAATGAATGGCTCTGTTTGTGCTGATGGAAGAGTATCCTAGTATCCTTCAATAAACTTCACACACTGTTCTTGAACTTTCATTCACTATCAAATAATGACTTGCCACCCATGCTCAAGATTGTTCCGGGTGCCATGTGTAACATAAAGGAGAATTCATTTCTGATCCTTCAACTAACGTTATTCTGCCAAAATATGTGGATTGCTGATCTGCTTATGAAGATTTTTCAGGATGTATATTAAAAGTTTTGACCCTGATAGTTCCCTCCGAGAGGGAAATAGGTGTTTTGGATTACTGTATAAGCATTCTAGTCATCTTGTCCATTAACATCACTAACGCATGTTTAAAAGTATATGCCTGGCATTTATCAGTTCACCTTCTCATTCTATTCTATGAAACTCAACTTTCTGGGATGCTACTAGCCAGGGATATTCCTTTGAAAGCCTAATTATCTGAATATGTTTTATATTAGCCCAATGAGGGATGGTTGAATGAAGATATAAAATCAGTTGCAGCATCTCAGAATACTGTCACTTGATAACACCTAAGGGAACGCAAAACTACTTTTCTGTCAAGTATCTCACGTATCCTAAATAAACAACCTGGGACCAGGTCAGACAACTGTATAAATAAACCCTACTCACGAGGAAGAATAGTATGTCAGTTTTAAATTTATTTGTCTATAATCAACAGAAAACCCAACTACAGTTGCTTAAACACACAGTGGTTTATTTATATCATGCAAAGGAAAGCCTGGGAGAATTGTTTCAGTGGCTCAACAATGTTATCAGAAACTCAGGGGCCTTCCATCTTTCTATCTTACCATTCTTAGTGCATAGACATTTGTCTTACGGTATTCATCTCATGGTTGCAAGTCTGGCTGCTTCACCTCCAGGCTTTCACCCTACTACCCATTCCAGTCAAAAAGGAAGAAAGGTGAAAGACCTAAGGAACATGCCACCTCAGATTAGCCCTTTGAAAAATCTTTCCCTAAAGCCCAATTGCACTTTTAAATAATTGGCAATAACTGAGTCTTATGACACACCTAGTTGCAAAGGATTATGAGAATGTGAATATTTTGACTAGAGTAGGGGAAGGAAAGGAAAAATGGGCTTGGAAATTGCTTTTTTTTTTTTTTTTGTAGCCATTTGTCTTAGTTTCATATTGCTGCTATAAATCACAGACTTGGTGGCTTAAAACAATACAAATTTATTATCTTACAGGTCAGAAGTCCAAAATGGATCTCAATAGGTGAAAGTCAAGGTGTTGGCAGAGCTGTATTTCTTTCTGGAGGTTTTAGGGGAGAATACTTTTTATTTTATTTTATTTTTTTACCTTTTCTAGCTTCTAGAGACTTCTCACATTCCTTGGCTCATGGCCCCCCTCCATCTTCAAAGCCAGCAATGGCCAGTTGAGTATTTTTCATATCACATCACTCTGGCACTGATGTCTGCCTGCCTCCCACTTCCATTTGTAAGGACTGTTGTGATTACATACATGGGGACCACCCCATTAGCCCCTTTAGTGACTCAGTCATCTCAGCAGAAGGTCAGTCTCAATTCCACCTGCAATTTTGTTATCTTTTGCAGTCTAAATAGGCTGAAAATTTCCCAAATCATCAAGTCCTAGTTCCTTTTTGCTTAACAGTTCTTCTCTCAATCTCTATCATCCCCCTCACATTTTACTATAAGCAGCAAGAAGAAATCAGGCTTCAACTTTAACACTTTGCTTGGAAATCTCCTCGGCTAAATATCCAAGTTCATTGTTTACAAGTTCTGCTTTCCACATAACTGCAGGACATAATTCAGCTAAGTTTTCTGCCACTATATGACAAGTTTCCAATTTCCATGTTTCCAATTACATGTTCCTCATTTTCTTCTGAGCCCTCACCAATATCCATTGCTGTGAGTTGATTACGACTCACAGCAACCCTAGAGCACAGGGTAGAACTGCCCCATAGGGTTTCCAAGGAGCAGCTGGTGGATTTGAACTGCCAACCTTTTGGGTAGCAGCTGAGCTCTTAAGCACTATGCCACCAGGGCCCCAACCAATAGTGCATTTAATATCCATATGTCTACCAATAGACAGTTTACATGATGTAGTTATTCTATAAAGGCAATATATGTTTTCTCTACTATGCTTCTCACCTCCTTCTGATTCCTCACTAACAGAGTTGTTAACATCCATATTTATACTAATAGTTTGTTCAAAGCACTCAAGGCTTTTTCATGGTCCTCAAAATTCTTCCAGCCTCTGCCTGCAGTCTAGTTCCAAAGTCACTTCTACATTCTTAGGTATTTGTTACAGCAGCACCCCACTTCCACATGCTAAAATCTGTATCAGTCAGGATTCAACCAGAGAAACAGAACAAGTAGGATATATGTTAGGTGATTTATAGCAAGGAATTAACTTATTTTATTATAGGGGCCAGCTATGTAAGTTCAAAATCTATATGACAGGCCATCAGAAAGAGAAGGCTGGAACTCTGGGGCATGAGCTGATGCTGCTGTCCACAGGCAGAACTTCTTCTTTATCTCCGAGAAACCTTAGCTAAATGCTTCTAAGGCCTTTTAAATTGAAATTTAAGGTTAGCTGATTAGCAACCTTTAATTTCATCTGAACCTTAATTCCTCTTTGTCATCTAGCATAACATATTCACAGGTTCCAGGGCCTGTGATTAGGACATGGACCATGCCATCCTACAGTATCCTCAAAGGTGAGAGGCTCCTGGAGATAAAGTAGTCCTAGCAACAGAACTGACTATTCCTCCAAATCATTCAACCCCCTCAACCACCAAATTGTCTAATAAATTTGGTTTTGTTAACTACTATTAATTCTACAATGTATTTTCTTTCAAATCCCTTATCAACCAGAACAATATCATCATCCAAAGGCAAATAGATATTGGCATACTGCACCATCAAAAGCTCCTCTAGGCCCAGCATTTGGAGCTCACTTGAGAATTTCCCTGCTATAGCAAGAGACAATTGCAGGCCACACATTACTTGGTCTTAGAGTCTATTGACCCTTAGAGTACGTAGAAACACTTTAAAAACAGTCAATCTGGGTATCAGTAAATCTGTTCAGGAAGTTTATCAGGATCATAATTTTAGAGACAGGGAAGAGAAAAGGAAGAACCTATGTCTTTTCAACAGTGGTTTAGATGAGAAAGAATAGATGATGCAGATATATTGTCAAGAGATAACATGTATTTTAGAGCAAATGTCTAATACTTGCAAGCGTGATTTTTAAATTAATAACTTCAAATTATACACATTGCTGCCTTTGGAAAAACAGAAATTCAAACAAAGATATTAGGAGAAATTGGGCAAGGATAAATATGTACTGATTCCACTCCAAGCTGAAAAGGGATTATAGAAAAGCCTTACCTGTGTCAATAATAAAAACTAAAAAAGCTTTCAACATTTAACAAATAAACTAGGACAAAAAGAAATAATAAATTCTTACGCAGTCTCATGTAGTGGAAATATGCTTTTAAAATTAGAACTATGCTTATTAGGAGGGGTTGACTATCATGCTATCTCTTAGGAATGAGTACTAAAAATTTAATTAGCAATATGAACTATGAAGTCTCCTGATAAATTTTTTTACTAGTAAAACAATAACTGAGAATAGCCAATAAAGCCGTGAGTAACATTAATAAAGAAAATAGCAGAGAAAATAAAGTAGAATTAAAGATTATTACTAGTCTTAAAAAAAAGAGAGGGGGGACAGTGAAAGACACAAAATTAATATACCCAGTGAGGAAGTTTCAGATACCTAAACTATTCCGAAAGTTGGGGTTTCCTTCTGTTTTCCTTTCAGGATCCTGGGCTAGAAGATTGGGGAAGATAGGCTTCAAGAATTTGAACTCATTACTCCCAGAGTCTCCCGTCAGACACACCTCGTACTGGTAGCTCTGGGACAGGGTCCCAGTGCCGCTGACGTCCACCAAGTGGCCCGGAAAGTGGCCCTCAGGCACAGAGCAGCGACCCACCGAGGTGGCCCTGTTCCTCCTGCACAACTGCACTGCAAGGAACAGGAGCATGGAGAACATGAAGAGCGACGAGACCGACGCCAACGCGATAACCAAGTAGACGGTAAGCGAGTCTGCCTGGGCCTCATCCGGAGCCACTTCCGGGAGCTGCAGGTAGGGCTGCGAGAAGCCGTCCACCAGGAGCACGTGCAACGTGACGCTGGCCGACATTGGCGGCTCGCCATTGTCCTTGACCAGCACGACGAGCCTGTGCTTGGCAGCGTCGCGCTCGCTCAGCAGCCTGGCGGTGCGCACCTCGCCATTGTGCGCCCACACGCTGAACAGCCCGGGCTCCGTGGCCTTGAACAGCTGGTAGGACAGCCAGGCGTTCTGGCCCGAGTCGCCGTCCACCGCCACCACCTTGGTCACCAGGTAGCCCGCCTCGGCTGCCCTGGGCACCAGCTCAGTGCAGGGAGCAGAGCCGTTCTGCAGCGGGTACAGCACGAAGGGCGAGTTGTCGTTGTCGTCCACGACCACCACGCGCACCAGCGCCTCGCTGCTCAGCGCCGGGGAGCCTGCGTCTGCCGCGCCCACGCGGAACTCGAAGGCTCGCAGGGCCTCGTAATCCAGCGACCTGAGAGCGAACAGGTGCCCGTTGTCCGCGTTGATGGAGATCAAGGAGGTGAGAAGGAAATGCGGGTCCTGGGGCGGCAGCAGCGAGTAGGTGAGTTGGGCGTTGGTGCCTGAGTCTCTGTCTGTGGCGCTGACGCTGCCCATGTGCAGGGCGGGGCTGTTGTTTTCTCGGATGAACAGGGTGTAGGAGGTTTGTGTGAAAGTAGGTGCGTTATCATTGACGTCGGAGACCAGCACTGTTATTCTGTGCTCGGTTTTCAGCCTGGGGGACCCGAAATCGCTGACCGTGATGGTGATGTTATACTCGGCTCTGCTCTCTCTGTCCAGTGCCCCTTCTGTAATCAGGGTGTAGAAATTCTCTGCAGTTGGCTTCAGAAGAAAGGGGAGATCATCCTGGATGGAGCAAATCATCCTTCCATTATCCCCTGAGTCTCGATCTCGAACCCTAAACAGTGCCACTTCTGTCTCGGGGGAGTTTTCGGGAATAGGGCTGGTAAGTGACGAAATGGTTAGTTCTGGGGAGTTATCGTTAACATCCACCACCTTAACAGAGACAGAACATTTTCCAGAATGTCCTCCGCCATCAGATGCCTCTATATCCAGTTCATATGAGGATATTGCCTCAAAATCTAATTTTTTAATTAGTCGAACTTCTCCTGAAAGATTACTTAGCTCAAAAGTTTTGCTAATCTCCTGAGAACTATAAAAAAGTGAGTATGATATTTCTCCATTAGTCCCGGTGTCTAAATCCCTAGCGGAAACCTTGACAACTAGGGAGCCTACGGGGCTGTTCTCTGGGATCTGCACGTCGTAGAGCTTTTGCGAGAACTCCGGAGCGTTGTCATTGACGTCCACGACCACGATGCGGATCTGTGCGGTGCCAGACCTGGGCGGAGAGCCACCATCCAGAGCTGTGATTATTACTCTCAACTCGGTCTGCTCCTCATGATCCAGCTCTTTGTCCAGTACCAGCTCAGGGTATTTCCTGCCATCCCCCCGCTTGGGGGTGGAAACATGGAAATGAGAGTTGGGACTGATACTGTAGTTTTGGACGTCGTTGTTGCCCACGTCCAAGTCCTGGGCTCTTTTCAAAGGAAACACAGTCCCATTTGGGCTATTCTCTAGGATTTTCAGGGTCATTTCTCTTTCAGGAAACTCAGGAGAATGATCATTTATGTCTCTCACCAGAAGCTCAGCTCGAAATACTTCTAATGGTTTTTTCAGTAATACTTGGAAATGAATTACACAGGGCTCTGTGGGGCCGCACAGCTCCTCTCGGTCCAGTTTCTCATTTAACAGCAACTCCCCGGTTTGCAGGTCAAGTTGTAAGCGTTGTTCGTTATCCTCAGAGACCACCCGGGCTCCCCGCGCAGCTAGTTCCCCCACTCCCAGCCCGAGGTCCGTAGCCAGCTGGGCTACAAAAGAGCCGCTCTCTGTTTCCTCCAGCACGGAATAACGACGGGGTTCCCAGACTGCCAGAGCCACTCCCAGCAAGAGAAAGAGAATCAGGACTTGCCTTTGTTTAGGAAAGCGGTCCCCTCCAGCCTCCATCTTCACTTCCGCGAACCCCTTTAGAGGAACAGGGCCCAGCTCTACCTCGGAGAGCGATGGGGCTGAGACAGTGATAGATCAGTCAGTTAATAACCTGTCCGGAAATGTCGGTGAGTAGCCTTCTCTTGAGTCTAACTGGTCCTGAGCTCTGCTGGTTACAGGCTTTCTCCTTGGCGGCGGAAGATCTGAGATAGAGTTGGTAGTTTTTTGTTTTTTTTTTTAAGGGGGACGTCTTAGCCTGCAGCGCCACCATGCGTTGTCTTTGCTTTGAAAAGAATTGGTACAATTGTTATATTCCCTGTGTAAGCTAAAAATTACCGATGTAGTTGTGCATATATATATATATGTATGTCTGTATATGTATACGTAATAAACATAATACATATATTCTGCTATTAAGAGTTTGAAAATTGTTTTGGGGAGTGATGTAATCAGAAAACTACGCAATTATAATGATTCATTCCTACATGAAAGAAGTATTATTGATCTTTATGCACCAGGTCCAAATACATTAGTAAATAACCCAGAAATGGTCTCCGCCTTCTAGAGCCTGTAGTCTGGGTGGGTGCTGTGAGGGAAATTGAGAAGTGAAAGAAGACATAGTAGTCATCAGTCCTCTTATAAAAATAGTGATAACATATACCCATGAGATTTCTTAAAATGATTTCAGCAAAACGGATGAATTCCTTTAGATTCACATGTGTGATGGTTCACTCAGCATTCTCTTTAAAATTCTAAGCAGCCTATGTGCCAGAATTGTGGTTCCTGTTGGTTGAATTATATCAAGGAAAAACTGCAAGTACATTCCAGTTTATGATACCCTTTCTACACAAGGTCAGAGAGTGCTGATTTTATGAAACTTTAAAATCCCTAGCATTTATCACCATCTGACAGAGTATATACATACATATTTAATTGTTTCTTTTCTGTGTCACTTTTGAGTTTGAGAACTTTGTTTTGTTCACTGCAGCATCTCCAACATCTAGAATAATGCCTGACACATAATAGATGCTCAACAAATATTTGTTGAATGGATCAATGAATACATCACAATTAACTTAAAAAGTCTGACAGATGGGGCCCCACCTTCTACTGTAGAAGCCCCCTCTTTTGCTGGTCTCCTTGTTCGTTATGTGAGCTGAATAAACAAGAAAGCATGTTTCCAAGTAGCTACTTTCTATGCCTATTGAATAGTAATTTGAAATAACTCAGAATGACCTAAATTTTTTTCATTAAATGGCAAAGTACACTGGCTCCCACTAAGCAAAATGATACACTATAAAAAGAAAAAAATGTAACAACAAAGCTATAACAATCCTACAAATAAAGTGTATATCCCTTTTAGATACACATTTTACATTGTCATTGTTATTTTACACTGATGATATTCAAAAGAAGATCTTTCTCATACAATAGAATTTTCTGAGAATTTCTACTAAACTCTCTTAAAGACTGTACCATTGGAAAGATCCATCAGTTCTCCTCAAAATTATATGTTCTGAAAAAAGCTTGCGCTTGTTCTCTACCAAAGGGGAAAAAAAAAACAAACCATTGCTGTCCAGTAGATTCAGACTCATATGGTTTCCAAGAAGCAGCTGGTGGATTCAAACTGCCTACATTCTGGTTAGCAGCCATAGCGTGCTGTAGCTCTTAACCACTGTGCCAACAGGGCTTCTTGTTCTCTACAGACTACCAATATTCTAGACCTTTTATCAATCCCAAATATTAATTATATCAATATGAAAAGCCATAATAAAAATCTTGAATTAATAGTAAGGTCTAATTTACCAGTCCATGCAAGAATATCTTAACATGTTTTTGACAACAAGAAAACAACCACTTAGCTCTCTTAAGCTATATTAGAGGGAAATTAATTAAAACAGCATATATAGTTACTAAAAACCCAAAAGAGAGAGTAGACTTGGGAGGTATTGGAAAATCTACAACATGGTTACATACTGTCTTGGACTCTGTTTCTGTTTAGATATCTCCTTCATTCTTGTCTCTCAGTGGGTTGACTTTCTGTGCTTATTTCTTTCTATACACTTAGCCAAACATAATATCACTTTTTGGATGAGTTCCTAACAGAGAGAATATATTCTATCTGGCTTCCAGAGTAATTTTTTAAACAGAGAGAATTGGATCAAGCCAGACTGGATCAATGATTCCTGCTACCTTAGCTGATGACCTAAAATCACAGAGGGAGATGGATGATATAAAATAAACATGACTGCAAAACACATCTCTACTAAACAGAGTTAGTTTCCAGAGAAAGAGGGGATGGGCTAGACAGACACCACAAAATGGTTTAATTATTTAAAAATATTGAAATAATGTAATTATCAGTCAATAATATTCATATATATTATAAATTGAAGGTTGATCTAAAGAGTGGAAAGTTTATACATATGGGAGAAATTGTAATCTTTTCCATGTAATACAACTGTGGAACAAAACCACACAATTTTTGCAGTAATCCCGTCATTTAAAAATTCAAAAAACAAGTAAGCACAATATCAGATCAAACAGAAGATATTCACTATATTTGTATCATGCTTGTCTTCTAAGTAACCACAGCCATCAAAAATTTAGAAAAACTTTCTAAACAATCACAGAGAATGGGGTTGAGATCATCTTCAATTCAGTAGAATTTGAAATTGAAAGGTTGATTAACTGAACAAGTAGTCATGACTTCAATAATGAAGGTGAAGGTTTTATTGTCTCCAAAATGGAAATAATAAGAAGATAGTAAACATGATGATATATACCACTCAAAAAATGTTTTTATAATCTCAATTAGGAAAATGCAATTACCAAAAACCCCAAGAAAATCTATATAAACCCAAATAGGTAATACAGACCTAGCATATTTTAAAATAATCTTCATCCTGAATGCTCTGAAAAACCAGAAGATTCTTAATTGAATCCAAAACCATTTTCAAAGTTGGAATTTTCCTCTACGTCATTCGTAGCCCTCTTGAACTTGAACTCGCTTGTTCCAGAGCTTCTTGCCAGATAGACTTCATACTGGTAGTTTTGGGACAGGGTCCCAGTGCCGCTGACGTCCACCAAGTGGCCCGGAAAGTGGCCCTCAGGCACAGAGCAGCGACCCACCCAGGAGGCCCTGTTCCTCCTGCACAGACACACCGTGACTAACAGGAGCACAGAGAACAGGAAGAGCGACGAGACCGACGCCAACGCAATGACCAAGTAGACGGTGAGCGAGTCGGCCTGGGCCTCGTCCGGGGCCACCTCAGGGAGCTGCAGGTAGGGCTGTGAGAAGCCGTCCACCAGGAGCACGTGCAACGTGATGCTGGCCGACATTGGCGGCTCGCCATTGTCCTTGACCAGCACGACGAGTCTGTGCTTGGCGGCGTCGCGCTCGCTCAGCAGCCTGGCGGTGCGCTCCTCGCCATTGTGCGCCCACACGCTGAACAGCCCGGGCTCCGTGGCCTTGAGCAGCTGGTAGGACAGCCAGGCGTTCTGGCCCGAGTCGCCGTCCACCGCCACCACCTTGGTCACCAGGTAGCCCGCCTCGGCTGCCCTGGGCACCAGCTCAGTGCAGGGAGCAGAGCCGTTCTGCAGCGGGTACAGCACGAAGGGCGAGTTGTCGTTGTCGTCCACGACCACCACGCGCACCAGCGCCTCGCTGCTCAGCGCCGGGGAGCCTGCGTCTGTCGCGCCCACGCGGAACTCGAACGCTCGCAGAGCCTCGTAATCCAGCGACCTGAGAGCGAACAGGTGCCCGTTGTCAGCGTTGACGGAGATCAAGGAGGTGAGAAGGAAATGCGGGTCCTGGGGCGGCAGCAGCGAGTAGGTGAGTTGGGCGTTGGTGCCTGAGTCTCTGTCTGTGGCGCTGACGCTGCCCATGTGCAGGGCGGGGCTGTTGTTTTCTCGGATGAACAGGGTGTAGGAGGTTTGTGTGAAAGTAGGTGCGTTATCATTGACGTCGGAGACCAGCACTGTTATTCTGTGCTCGGTTTTCAGCCTGGGGGACCCGAAATCGCTGACCGTGATGGTGATGTTATACTCGGCTCTGCTCTCTCTGTCCAGTGCTCCTTCTGTCACCAGCCTGTAGAAATTTTCAACGGTAGGTTTCAGTGTGAAGGGAATATCTTCCTGGATGGAACAAACCATTCTTCCATTTTCTCCAGAGTCTCGGTCTTGAATACTGAAAAGAGCTACTGTGGTCTCAGGGGAATTTTCCGGGATGGGGCTCATAAGTGAAGCCACAGTAAGTTCTGGGATGTTGTCGTTTATGCCCACCACTCGTATGATGACAGTGCACTTTCCAGAAGGACCTGCCCTATCAGAGGCCTTAACATTCACTTCATATGACACAATTTTTTCAATATCTAGTGTTCTGATTATTTGAATTTCTCCAGTGAGTTCATTAAGTGCAAATGTCTTGGCAATCTCTTCATCACCATAAAAAAATGAGTAGAATATTTCACCGTTTATTCCTGTGTCTAAATCTCTGGCGGAAACAGTGACAATAAGGGATCCGAGGGGGCTGTTTTCGGGAATCTGAACATGATAGAGGGGCTGCTCAAACTCACGGACATTGTCGTTGACATCTACGACATCAATGAGGATCAGGGCAGTTCCAGTCTTGGGAGGAGCCCCTCCATCTACCGCCATGAGAGTTAACCTGAGCTCACGCTGCTCCTCACGATCCAGGGCTTTGTCCAACACCAACTCCGGGTATTTTCTGCCCTCACTGCCATTGCGGGTGAGAACATGGAAATGGGAATTTGGGTAGATGGTGTAGTTTTGAATGTTGATGCCTATGTCTAAATCTTGTGCATTCTGCAGGGGAAATACAGACCTGGGAAAACTATTTTCCAAGATTTTCAAAATCATTTCCGCTTCTGGGAACACAGGGGAATTGTCATTTATGTCACTGACCAAAAGTTTAAACCTATATACCTCCAAAGGTTCTTCCAGTAACATTTGGAATTGCAGCACACAAGGATCAGTGGGGCCGCATAGTTCTTCCCGATCTAGTTTCTCATTTACTTGCAAATCTCCAGTCTGAACATTCAGTTGAAAATGTTTTTTGTGATCCTTAGAAATGACCCAAGCCCTCCGCCAGGCCAACTCTCTAACCCCTAGCCCTAGGTCCTTTGCTAGATTGGCCACAAAAGAACCTCTCTCTGTTTCTTCTGCCACAATATAGCTAGCCTCCCTGCTTGGCGCAAGTCTGAGCCAGCAAAACAAAGAGAAGCAGAACTTGCCTTAGTCTAGGAAAGCGCTCCTCTTCAGCTTCCATTTATCCAACACCAAAAGCCTTTTGCAATACAAAGTCTCAGATGGCGTTGGTTCCAGGTGCCTGTTTTGGGTCTGTCTACTGGCAATCTGCTCTGGGATGTAGATGGGTCCGGGAATCAACCTTTGCAGCAACACAGTTTGGTTAAGAAAGCCTCTTCCTCTTAGTAACCATCTGCAGGTCTGTTTTTTACAGCCTTAGCTTACAGCACCACCATGTGTTGTACTTAAACCAGGCTTGCTAAAAATGCTACAAAACGCGTTTCACTGACCGAGGTATATGGAAAGAACCACTGATTATACATATGGGATGGTTTACAAATAAAAGTGGCAATTTCTATTCTCCTGTGAGATTATGAATGTGGAAATGGTGCCAGACACTTTGGGAAATGATGCAAGCACAGAGTGAATCATATTTTTAATTTATTTATTCAACAAATACTGATTTCCTATTATGTGTCAGGCATTGTGCTAAGTGCTGGCAATACAAATCCTGTTTCCCCCTTATGAAGCTTACAATACAGTGTCTCCTTTAGTGTGTGCTGAGTGCTGTGGGGAAAACTGAGCAAACAAAGAAGATGTGTAGCTATCAGTCTATTCCTAAAGAAAGAATATACATCATTAAACTCAACCCACTGCTAGGACAGTAGATGAAGACATTCAATCACATGTTTCAGCAGTATAAACTTAAGTGATAGATCAGCCGGAACTAGTTTACTATGCAAATGCCATAGACAGTTTAAGGAGTTGTGGATAATTTATTTGTAAATATTGTCTAAGGACAATGTGTACTTATGTAAGCACATTATATTGACTTGTTACATTATCTAAAACAGTTTGTAAAGAATGTCTGCATTCATTACTAAAACTAAGATGCAAACTAAGAAGCCAAAATTCACTGAGATCTTGAAAAGGGGGACAACCAAGATCAAAAAGATAAAGGGTGAAATTAAAATGAGAAAATAAAGTGCAGAAGAAGGTAAGATTAATCTGAAACAGCAGACTAAACTTATTTTCAACTAGAAAATATCTCAACTCCTTTTCAGCAAGCAACTCACAGCACAGATCCCTAGTGGATAGGCCTGGGATCCTAGCACCTTAGCATGGGCCTAAGGTTCTCTTACTCCTAAGGAGGGGAAAGCATCTTTTGGGGTAGGGGAGTGGGGATGGGTACCTGGGATTTCTCCAGCTGAACCAACCTCTAGCCAAGGTTTTAGTCAACAATAGACACTGTCATATATTCTGGTACTCCAATTACCTGGCTAACTGGAAAAATTTAGCATGGACCAACTTTAAGAATTGTATTCCCTATTGGTTTAATTCTTATAAGGTACCCGTAACATTGCAGTCCAGTCCATTCCAACTCATAGCGACCTTACAGGACAGAGTAGAACTACCCCACAGGGTTTCCAAGGCTGTAAATCTTTACTAAAGCAGATTGTCACATCTTTCTCCTGTGGAGTGGCTGGTGGGTTCAAACCACCAACCTTTCAGTTAGCAGCTGAGCACTTAACCATTGCTCCACTAGGGAGAATTGACATTTATTTTAGAATATTTTCCTCCACACCATGAAACAAATTTGATTAAATAAACTTCCAAAATACGAGAACATGCTGGTCACAGTTAAAATCTGATAGACAATTTTCCTTATAGAAAGATCTTGATAACAGATCCAAACTCTTTATATGGACTTAAATATCCAAGAAAATGTGCCCTTAATGTCCATGCATTTTTAGTATGAATGCAATAAAAGTTGGTACTTATGTCAGTAAGCTAATAGATCAAAGTTATTTTTTCACTCCCATCCTTTATCACTCAGATAAAATTCCTCCTTTCTAAAATCACATTTTAAGCCCCTAGCCTTGGCAGGAAGTTTGAAAAAAAATTGTTAAGGCTTTCTAGTAATAGAATATGTGTTCATCAAATAATATTTATTACTGTTACTGAAATCATGAATCAATCCATATGATATATAAATTAGAATTATTTATAAAGCCAGAAGATTTTACATTAAATGATAAAATATTTCTTCTGTTCACACTGAAATCAGTAACTAGTTTTTGGAAGAGAGTCTTCTAAAAGGGATATAATAATCCTGAAAAAAATGTACAGATACCCAAATAGTGACAATTTCAATGTTATTTCTAAATGTTTCTGGGGCACATAAAATAATGGATGGAAACCCAAATTACCAAGACATTCCATAAAACTTTTTGTAGCGTTTGTCTTTTAAAAGATCTCATAAATTATTTACAAAATTAAATTTTGTAACAAAAGCCGCTATTATAGATTAGTTATCTCTTATATGTACATTTTTATTCCATTCATTAAATTAATATTAGAAGCATGCAATAAAATACCTAAGTTTGATGGTATAATCTAATTGAGTACTCAAGACTTTATGCGTCAAGTCTCTTTTGGTTGCAAGAACCATCTCCCTCAAATAGGTTAAATAAAGAAGTTTTATTATTAGAACACTTGAGTCTTACTATAGAATCCAAGGGCAATAATACACTGGGGAGTTAGAAGGGACTAGAACTGGAAACAGACAGGTCTAGAACCAAGTAGCTTACTCTCTACTGTATTCTAGGCTTCTGCCTCCACTCCCTTATTCTTTCTCACTTCTATTCTTTCCTTTCCACTCTCCTTCCTTTCCTTCCTTCCTCCCTCTTTAGGTGCCATTTTTGCTGCCAGTCTACAGGTATAAACGTGGCCACTGTAGCCCACGTTTAACTATTTCCTAGTTACCAGCAATTAAGAGAAAAAAATAGATGAACTATATTTTAATTGCAAGTTCAAGGTCTGGGATTGTGATTATTCCAGCTTTCATCATGAGCCTATCACTGGACCAATAAAAAATGGCCAGGAGAGGCAAAAATAAAAAAAGTAGATTGCCTCTCTGGAGTACAAGGAGGTTCTCAGACAAGGAAGGAGTGTGGGCTGGATATATATCTTAAGATTAAAACAAAAATTACATTTACATTAAAAGAACATTTACGAGCAATATATGTAGTTCATGAACTATTTATGAGGGAAATACCTAAGTGCAGAAAAATTCATTGCAATATTTGGCAAAAAAGTAGAATGGATTGATTATACCTTAAAAAAAAAAACCTAAATTAGATAATATCTTAAAAACCAGCCTAACCAAAAAACCAAAAACTCACTGATGACTCATAGTGACCTTATGGGACAGAGTAGAACTGCCCCCTAGGGTTTCCAAGGCTGTACATTTTTAGGGAAAGAGACTGTCATATCTTTCACCCTCTATTACATCTTTCGATGACATTTCAGGTAGCAGCCAAGTGCTTTAACCATTGTGCCACCAGGGCTCCTAGCCTAACCTGATGGCAAAGCAACTCTGTTTTTATTCACAGTATGCATTTTCTCTATAATAATAATATCAAACATGCAATTTCTAAATAATAATAATATAAAACATACAAAAACTTTTGTCAGAAGAATCCAGAACCAGAACATTCAGAGTCTATGACTGGGCCTAGTGTGCAATTAAGCTTGAAGGGAAAATGCTATATATTTGAGGTCGAATTTGGGAATAAATACTACACAAGTTTCAGCTCTCTTAACTTTATCACAGTTAATACGAAGAGCAGAAAAGAAAGGCTTAAAAAAATTGAAATTTCTGAAAACTCATAAGATGAAGTAACTGAAAAGGAAAACTTTACATTACAATGAATAAAGTTTCAAAGGAGTAACACTCCTTCTAAAAGTTTTGCATCATAATCAGACTCCTAATTGAACCAGAAGCCATTAAGAAAGGTGGAGCTTTCCTCAATTTCCGTTTCAGCTCCCTGGGGTGCGAGGTTGGGGATAACCGGCTTCAAGAACCTGAACTCATTTGTCCCAGAACCTCCTGTCAGACAAACCTCGTACTGGTAGCTCTGGGTCAGGGTCCCGGTGCCGCTGACATCCACCAAGTGGCCCGGAAAGTGGCTCTCAGGCACCGAGCAGCGACCCACCGAGGCGGCCCTGTTCCTTCTGCACAGCCACACCGCGACGAACAGGAGCACGGAGAACAGGAAGAGCGACGAGACAGACGCCAACGCAATGACCAAGCAGACCGTGAGCGAGTCGGCCTGGGCCTCGTCCGGGGCCACCTCAGGAAGCGGCAGGTAGGGCTGCGAGAAGCCGTCCACCAGGAGCACGTGCAACGTGACGCTGGCCGACATTGGCGGCTCGCCATTGTCCTTGACCAGCACGACGAGTCTGTGCTTGGCAGCGTCGCGCTCGCTCAGCAGCCTGGCGGTGCGCACCTCGCCATTGTGTGCCCACACGCTGAACAGCCCGGGCTCC